GTGGCAGCGGCGGCGCGGCAGCGGCGGCGCAGCGGCGGCGAGGCCAACTACAGAGCGTTCTCTGCGCATGCGCAGGGGACGCTCTGTCACTTTCGGGGGGATTTAAACATCCCCCCGAAATTTTTTTCAGCTTTTAGCATTTTTGTGCACACGTGGGGACTGGCCCACAAGAGCACAAACCTCCCCCTCCCCCCCAAGTGCCCCCCGGAGCGCTGATTTAGCGATCCGCACTCACGGGGGCAACTTGGCTATTAGATATATAGATAATAGAAGACAAAAACAAGTGTCGTTAACAGACTCAACAATTACAACTCGCCAAAAAGCTGAAGAACATGTAATAGAGAATGATGTCTACAAAGCAGCTACAATGAAGAAGTACAAAATGTAAAGAATGGAGAACTGGTCTGCGCTACGATGTATAAACAATAGAGAACTACTAAATAATTTGACGTTGTGTCCGGATGTTTGATAACAATGTTTCAAAGTTCATCCTTCATCAGGGTGTTCTAATAAAATACATCACTTATTAAGTAAAGGAGAGCCATACAAAGAAACTGCAAGGACAGCTTACCCCTTTAAGCTTCTGTGGTTTTCATACTCATACTGACATGAGAGTTCTGACTTAGAGACAACTTTTTCACTGTAGCTGCTCTGTAGACATCATTCTCTGTTACATGTTCTTCAGTTTTTTGGCGAGTTGTAATTGTTGAGTCTGTTAACTACACTTGTTTTTGTATTTTTTTTTTGTCCCGGTCACACGAGCCGGAAAATGTTGGGGGGAAGCGTGGCTGTTTGCCCTGGAGCAAAATAACGCGCGGCCGCCCGATCACACGTCCCGTTGAGGTCCGGTGGTTAGGGGGTGAGGTGCCGATCACATGGCTATCCTGCAGCGCGGCAAAGAAGCGGCGCGGCGCGATCACACCAGCAATCACTAGGCACCGCTTCCATTGCAAACTTTTTTTTTAACCAAAGTTTGTGCGCATGCCCCGTTGGGCGCTTTAGGGACTTGGGGGGGGGGGGAACCCCTTGTTTGTGACGGAACATCGGTGGGCGCCAGATGCCACGAAATTCCACCGGAAACGCAATCAGACGCCCACCCTTGCCCCGCGGTTTCTGGAAACCAGTACCTCGTAAGTGCTAGTTTTTTACTCCACAACTACAGTGGAAAGCCATGGGTTAGCCACGGGAGCACTACACTTCCCAGATGTTGCGGTGTGATCGTGCCCGGAAAATCCGCCTATCATCCGTATCTTTAGCGCGGCAACTGCTCCGTGTGAATGGGGCCTTCAGAATGTTTATTTTATAGTATTACAGAATATCAACATACAATAAAAATATAGATACAGTAACAGCAAAAAAGAGGAAGTTAACGTTCCAAACAGTATCTTATTAACAAACAACTTAACAACAATAACTGTATCAAACTTATAGCTAACATCAAAATTAAAGGTTAAATAACAACAACCACCTAATGGAACATGTATAGTGACAAGGCATTTGTCCAAGGATTACATGGTCTGAGCATCATAAACCTGTTTTGTTTAGCTAGCAAAACCTTCCATTTCTTCATCGGGCTATTTGATTAGACTATGTTGGACAGACCATTCAGCAATTTTGTCATCAATCAGATATTCCCATAGTTTGGTGTACCAATGATCTATAGAGGGGACGGCCTGGGTTTCCCAATTCTTTGCAATCATGCACTTAGCTGCAGTGAAAAGTACCGAAATCAGTTCTCTTATCGACTTTCGGGTACACGTTTTGAGCCACAAATTAAGAAGGATCAAGGCAGGGTCTTTGGGAATCTTACAAGTTGTTAGTATTTTTTATCTCTGTTAAAATCGCATCCCAGAAACTCGAAATTACGGGACAATCCCACCAAGCATTGGTGGTATGTTCCTCCTTTACCACAGCCTTTCCAACATGTTGGGGGATGTTCTGATGATGCGTGGGAAAGTTTGACCGGTGCCATCTAAGAGTGGGGATCTCTTTTCGTTAGGCAGCAGGGGTTGGATCCAGCCTACTGGGTTTTGCATCAAACTACTGCTTTTGCATCAATGGAAGAGAGCACCGGTAGTGGCACAGATCCAGGGGGATCTAACCTCATGCCGACCACCTTCATAACCTTTTAAATCCAGTGTTCCCAAGCAGTGTTCCCTCTAAGCTGAGTTGGTGTGAGCTAGCTCACAGTTTTATAGCCTCTGGCTCACATTGTTGTCCTCGCTCCGGAAGGATGGCTCCAGACTAATTTACAGCGATGGCCCCAGGCTTTTTTGCCCACTAGGCAAGGATACATTCTCCCCCGCCCCGTGTGGGGTGGGATGGGGGTGGGCACCAGAGCCACAGTGGGCGGGCCGGGGGGCAAGCTGCAAAATGCATGTGGGGGGGCGGGATCGCTCGAGGGAAAGGGGAGGGGGGCTGTGCCAGGCTGCAAAAGGAACTCCAAAGAGACCACGGGGGCGGCAGAGGGCGAGCAGCACTTTCCCGTCGTCCCGGGCTGTTCCCCATGCTTGTCCCCCCCTGCCTCCTTCTCTTTCTTTCTGGGGGGCTGGAAAAAGGGGAGTCTCTTGCCGGGGACAGAGCAAGAAGCCGGCAAGGGAGGCTTCCTGTGCGGGGCAAGGAGGGGACGAGGCCGGCCAGAATGGCGCCCTCGTCGAGCCGTCGCCCTAGGCGACAGTCTAAAATGTAACAATAACGGGCCGGCCCTGCTGATTTATGCAATAGCCAAATCGCTCGCTCACAACTTTAAAGCCAGCAGCGCACAAAGTAGAAAGCTCACAAGACTCCGCAGCTTAGAGGGACCATTGTTCCCAAGCGAGATGACGATGCTCTGAGGATAGGTTCTGGAAGCCCCCAAAAGTCTGCTGAGGTGAACCGGAGCCTCTGAGTCGCCTCCTCCGGCCTGTGGGCCAGACCCACGGGTAGGAAACAGGAGCCAGTGACGAGACGCTCGCTCTCCGCCGCTTCCCGCCCTCACACTCGGGTGTCCATGGCGTACATTTGGGCGGTGGGTGTCTGCCAGGATGGGTGGGGCAGGCCGGTTGCCATCATTCCAGGAGGGAGGCGAGCCTTCCGTAAGGAGCCGAAAGAGGAGTACCTGCCGGATCCCGCACCTGCGTCCCACGCCCCAGGAGAGACCAAAGAAAGAGCCGCTGGTGAGCAAGACCTCAGTGACCATTTTGTTCATAGCTGCCTGCTGCAATTTATGTTTTCATCAGACCGCTTCTGTCCCTGGAGAGATAACGCCAGGCCTGGAGAATCCGATGAGCTCCAGCAGCCAGCTTGCTTTCTGTACATCAGAGATCACGGCACCCACCAATCAGCCTGGCCCCCAATTCTGCATGGTCTGCCGAGGCCGGGGGAGGGAGCGGCATTCCTTCCTCTGGAAAGGAAGCAGAACTTGTTAACCCCTTCCAGTTCTGCCTTTGACTTTTGAAGCTGTTGCCGTTCACTCTGGCAGGTGCTGGGAAAGGTGGGCGGTAGGGCTCCGGAGGCCTTCCCTGGGCTCTCAGGTGGGGGGGAACCTCTGCAACTTACCTGGCTGCTTCTTGCTCTGACTGAGGGCTGCTGGGAGCAGGGGGCGGGGCTTGTTGCATGTGCCCGCCCCCTGGGCTCTTTACTGCCGGAGCTCCGCTCCTGTGCGCTCCTGCAGGAAATGACCCCTGGGTACCACTTCGGTGGGAAGGTAACAGCATTCCGTATGCCTCGGTGTCCAATCTTGCCAGCCACGTGACCACGGAAATGTCTCTGGACAGCGCTGGCTCTTCGGCTTGGAAACAGAGATGAGCACCGCCCCCTAGAGTCGGATTCGACTGGCTTTCGAGCAAGGGAAACCTTTCCTCTAAGTTCAAGGCAGCTCTTTGGACTGCCCATTCCTGTTGATCGTGGATCCGGTTGCTTCTCCTTCCGGAAGCCCTACTGCTTTGGCAGTGAAGTGTTTCCACTATCGCGCGATAACATCACACGGCTGGGGAAAACACTTTTCTTGCCACTGCAGCTGGGGACCACTGGGGATTGCAGGGACGTTTGGCAAGCAGACGGGGCAAATTTTGTGGGCACAGAGCTTTGGAGAGAGAGGTTCCTGAAGACCTCCCCCTTGTAGGAACTGTCCCCTCTCCATGGCACAGACATATGATTTAGGGCAGGGGTGTCAAACATGCAGCCCGGGGGCCGGATCAGGCCCCCGGAGGGCTTCCATCAGGCTCTCAGTGGAACTGGCCATCTCCTGCTTTCAATTCTGCTGCTGCTGCCGCTGCCGCATCATCTCTTGCTTTGCCAGACTCTCTTAATCACTCAGCCATTTCATGTTTTCCCCTGGGTCCTAGTCTCAGAACTCTGAGCCAGAGATTTCTGTGGTGAATGTCAATAAATCAAAAGTAGGTTTGCAGCTTACAGAGCTAATGTTTTAAACATGCTTTTAGTTTAATGGAAAAAAACCCCTTTGGGTTTGTGTCCTTTATAAAGTTTATATCTCCACTACTTGGCATTACATTTTATGACACACATGGCCCGGCCCCACAAGGTCTCGTTTATGTCAGATCTGGCCCGCGTAACAAATGAGTTCGACACCCCTGATTTAGGGGGTGGCTCAAATTCCTGCCTGCTAGAATTTTATGCTAGCATTTGGCAACCTTGTGCTTGGAAATATCTGTTGAGCTCCCTGAGGAAGAGACTGAAACAGGAGGATATCTGGACCTCTGCTGGAGGACGACTCAGCACTCATTCAGAATAGACTCAAAGGAGTCCTCCCTCTTGAAACTTCTGTATAATTAAGGAGGACTGATATTAACAAAGGGGTTGTGCAATATCTTTTGTGATATATTAAGAGATGATACTTAGATGTTTTGATATATGATTCTTTCTATGTATTTATATGATAAAGTCTTTATATGATAAATGATATATGGCGAATAAATTGTAAAAATATAAAACAAAAAAATATATAAAATTATTTGAGATATTTCATAATCATCTGTAGCACGGTATTTGCTGATTGGTGGTAGAAGAGCTACATTTGAGTCCAGAATCACCTTAACGGCCAACGAGATTTCCAGGTTATAAATTTTCCAGAGTCAAATCTCCCTGATGAAGGGAGCTATCTGATGAAGGGACTCTGGAAAGCTTGTGTGTGTTATTATGCATCGTATTTTGGAATACACAAGGTCTATAGTGCAGCCTTATCAAGAAGACATGAAGTTCACCCTACAGGGGGACAGCTGAAGGACTGGTAGTTAGTACAGCAAGACTAGGGACTACCCATAATTTGAAACTGTGTCCTTGCCGTCTCCTGATTGGCTCTTCTGGAGACTTCCTGCTCTTGTAGGGTTTCCTGTTGCTCCTTATTCCTCTCCCAACAGTTAGGCTAGACAGTTAAGGCTCTCTGGCTCTTCTATGGTCTATCAAAGTTCGTTCTTTAATAAACCTACTTATTTTTCTCTAAACAGCCAGTGCTCCGCTCACTTACATACTTAAACTCTGCCAACACCATAAAGCTTCCGATTTAGGATGACCCTATCAGTCAATGACCTCCCAAACATCCTTTCGCTCAAGTCTTGTGAACGGAGGGCTGTCGTTGTCAGCTAGGCCTCTCTCAATCCCTCCCTGCCATGGGAGTGGGGGTGACTCTGGAATGTTAAGAAGGAGAAGAAGGAGAAGAAGAAGAGATTGGATTTATATCCAGCCCTTCACTACCCAAGGGCGTCTCAGAGCAGCTAACAGTCTCCTTTCCCTTCCCCCTTCCCCACAACAGACACCCTGTGAGGTAGGCGGGGCTGAGAGAGCTCTGACAGAAACTGCTCTTTTCCAAGGACAGCTCTTATCAGAACTACGGCTTGCCCAAGGTCATCCAGCAGGTGCAAGTGGAGGAGTGGGGAATCAAACCTGGTTCTTCCAGATTAGAGTCCGCGCACTAAGAAGAAGAAGAGGAGGAGGAGGAGATTGGATTTATACCCCACCCTTCACTACCCAAAGGAGTCTCAGAGCGGCTTACAAACTCCTTTCCCTTCCCCTCCCCACAGCAGACACCCTGTGAGGTAGGTGGGGCTGAGAGAGCTCTTGACAGAAACTGCTCTTTTTCAAGGACAGCTCTTATCAGAACTACGGCTTGCCCAAGGTCATCCAGCTGGTGCAAGTGGAGGAGTGGGGAATCAAACCCGGTTCTCTCAGATTAGAGTCTGCACACTACTTAACCACCACACCAAACTGGCTCTGAAGTTTCAATTCTGCTGTGTCTTGTATGTTTCTATTATCTCTGTATGACCTTCAGTGCCCAGTGTAGTCTTTCTCCTCGGAAAAGTAGCCCGTTACTTGGACGGGCTTCTACCTGGTCCTTGATCGGCCCTGGGCCATCAGGAAGCCTCCTTGAAAAATGCATAACTGTTTGCTGCGTGCGCTTTTCCCTAGTCCTACCACGAGACAGTTAAGATACCTGCGTACACACAAAGTCTCAATAAACTTTACTTCTTTGAATGAAAGCTGTTGGGAACTGATTGCTGCTGGAGTCTGACAGGCGCTTCCTTGTCCGAGTCCGTCCATCTCCTCTTTTCTCGCTGCCTTCGACTTTTCCTAGCATGATTGTCATTTCCAGTGACTCTTCTCTTCTTGTGACTCTTCTCTTCTCTCTCTCATTTCTCAGTGACTCTTGTCTCTCTCAGGCCACACCTAGAGTCCTGTGTGCAGTTCTGGAGGCCTCACTTCAGAAAGGATGTGGACGGAATGTATTGCATTCAGAGGAGAGCGACGAGGCCTGGAGACCAAGAAGCCCTCGGAGGAAAGGCTGAGGGACTTCTTGGGAATGTTGAGTCTGGGAAGGAGGAGGTTGAGGGGGGACAGGATTGAGTCTTTGAATGGCTCTCACTTAGCCAGTCTGGTGCGGTGGTTAAGTGCGCAGACACTAATCTGGGAGGACCGGGTTTGATTCCCCACTCCTCCACTTGCACCTGCTGGATGACCTTGGGCAAGCCATAGTTCTGACACGAGCTGTCCTCGGAAAAGAGCAGTTTCTGTCAAGAGCTCTCTCAGCCCCACCTACCTCACAGGGTGTCTGTTGAGGGGAGGGGGAGGGAAAGGAGTTTGTAAGCCGCTCTGAGACTCCTTCGGGTAGTGACGAGCGGGGTATAAATCCAATCTCCTCCTCCGCCTCCTCTTCTTAGGAGCCAGTTTGGTGTCGTGGTTAAGTGTGTGGACTCTAATCTGGGAGAACCGGGTCCGATTCCCCACTCCTCCACTTGCACCTGCTGGATGACCTCGGGCAAGCCGCAGTTCTGACAAGAGCTGTCCTTGAAAAATAGCAGTTTCTGTCAGAGCTCTCTCAGCCCCACCCACCTCACAGGGTGTCTGTTGTGGGGAGGGGAAGGGAAAGGAGTCTGTAAGCCAATCTGCGACTCCCTTTCGGGTAGTGAAGGGCGGGGTATAAATCCAATCTCCTCCTCCTCCGCCTCTTCTTCTTCTTCTTCTTCGAGGAGGAGGAAGAGGGCAGGGAGCTGTTCCTGTTGACAGCAGAGGGGAGGACTCGCAATAATGGGCTTAAATTAAGGGTGGGAAGGTACCAGCTGGATTTTAGGAAAAACTGTTTTATAGTAAGGGTTGTTCAGCAGTGGAATGGGCTGCCTGGGGAGTTGGTGAGCACCCCCTCCCTGGCAGTCTTTCAGCAGCGGCTGGACAATCCCTGGTCAGGGATGCTCTAGGCTGATCCTGCATTGAGCAGGGGGGTTGGACTAGATGGCTTGGATGGGTCCTTCCACCTCTGTGTGATTCCATGATTCTATGCTGTGACCAAAGCACGATAGCCTCAGTTGAGTCATTTTAGCTTCAAGGGAGAGAGTTCAGGCTTGAACATTCACCCCTCTACAATGTTACTGGCTGCTAAGGTGCTGCTGGACTTTAAATGAGCTCCGCTCGTGCTTGAAAAGACGGCTTTGCGCCAGGCACTCCGCTGCAGCCCAGTGCCGCATCCTGTCTCTCGGCAGCAGTGTGGCCTCAATCCCATGGCCTCCTGCCACCTTCGAGATCAGCAGACAGCCTACCTTTGGCTCTTACCTCTGAAGAGCTGCATGCAGCAGGTCAACAAAGCGCCCGATAAGAAGCATCCCAGAGCGCCGCTCAGGCCCAGCCAGCAGGACCACCCGAATTTGTACTGGATGCCCACAAAGACATTGTGCAGGACCAGGGTGGAGCGCTCCACGTAGACACCGATGGCGTACCAGGCAGAGCCGACGAGGCCAGGGACACCTGCAAGAAGCAGAGGGGGCTGATGGGAGGTCCAGAGAATGTTGGCCCACCCTGACTGTGTGTCAGGTAGCCCTGTCATAGTTCTGGAATGTGGGGGGGGTACCCTCCTTCTCGTTCTCAGCTCTCCCTGACTCACCAACTGTTTTCCATCTTAGGCTTGACCTTGTAGATGTTCCAGCTGCAGTTTACACGGCTGGGAAAGTTAACGGCTTTTCTGCTATGCCCGCTTGCTTTGCCGCGTGCGAGAGATATATCCATTGGCTCATGCTTACAGGGGGAATGTTTGATTTCACTATAAGTCAGAGGCCCTAGTACTGACGGCCATTCCTGACACAAGCTGTACACGTGTTCTTTAGTACTGGATCCATTCATGAACAGTTTTCTTCTTATGAAGCCCTGTGTGGTGTGACCTGACTAAGGAGCCTGGCACTGTGTGCTGTGTCCTGATCCACTCTATGGGGCTTAACTGCTAAAACAATACGTTTCCCCTGGGTTTTAGCCACGGTGTGACACAGAGTCTTGAACTGGATGGGTCACTGGCCTGGTCCAACACGGCTTCTCTTACATTCTTATGTCTGGGGCAAGGGATGCTCTGTCTTCTTAATGCTTGAGGGGGGCTAGAGTGGGAGGGCTTCTGGAGTTCTGGCCCTGCTGGTGGACCTCCTGATGCTACCTGAGTTTTGGCCACTGTGTGACACAGAGTATTGGACTGGAGGGGGGGCTTGTTGCATGTTCCCACCCCCTGGGCTCTTTACTGCCGGAGGTCCGCTCCTGTGTACTCCTGCAGGAAATTACCCCTGATCTGGACAACAACCCTGTGAGGTAGGTTAGGCCGAGAGAATATGACTGGCCTAAGGTCGGTCGGTGAGCTTCCACAGCATGGGTGAGGAGGTTTTGAACCTGGATATTCCAAATCCTGGTCCCACACTCTTATCCGCTCTACCATCTTGGAACACTGGCACCATGTGCTTCTGTGCCCAACTTGCTGATTGGTGGAAATGCAACCTATGCTTTTTAGAAACGCATTAAGAAGAAGAAGAAGAAGAAGAAGAAGAAGAAGAAGAAGAAGAAGAAGAAGAAGAAGAAGAGATTGGATTTATACCCCGCCCTTTCACTTGGAGTCTCAGAGCGGCTTACAAACTCCTTTCCCTTCCCCTCCCCACAACAGACACCCTGTGAGGTGGGTGGGGCTGAGAGAACTCTGACACAAACGGCTCTTTTTCAAGGACAGCTGTGCCAGAGCTTGTGACTGACCCAAGGTCACATCAGCAGGTGCAAGTGGAGGAGTGGGGAATCAAACCCGGTTCTCCCAGATTAGAGTCCGCGCACTTAACCACGACACCAAACTGAAATGAGCGAAGATTGATGTCACCCCTCAGCTGCTGACATGTGTGTGTGTGTTTGTATGTGTGCATGCACAAGAGGGCTGGTTTTGATGTCTATTCAGTGGCAATGCACTCTGCACTCTCACAGTGGAATTACATTATCCCACATGTTCCAGAGTGAACCCTAGCACCGAAAGCCTAAACTCACTCGGGGGGGGTGGGGGGGGGGGGAGATCCTCCTGCCTCAGACTGAGCCTGGTTCTCCCCCGCCCTCCCCTTTGCCTGGTGGCCCCCACCGCCCGGTCGCCAGCTACCTCCAAGGATCAGCATCAATCCGGAGACGAAGCAGATGCCGGTCTTGATCCGGGGCTCCTCCGTTAGGAATTTCACGCAGTCGAGGCCCAGGAGGAGGAAGGCGAACGCCAGGCCGGCCAGGACGTCGGCAGTGATCAGCATCGCCCGGGTCAGGACCAGTTTCACTGCGGAATGGGGGGGGGGGGCAGCAGCTGAGGTTAGCGATGGGACGAGGAGCCGGTCCCCAAAGGGGACCCTCTGATGCTGAACATCTGGAGGCGCCCTGAGCTGAATTGGGCCACTGGTCCGTCTCCTCCTCCTGACTGTTCTGCTGGGCAGAGTTGCCAACCTCCAGGTGTGGCCTGGACATCTCCTGGAATTATGATTGGTCTCCAGACTACAGCGGTCAGGTCCCCCTGGGGAAACTGACTGCTTTGGAGGGTGAGCTCTAGCTACGGTTGCCAACCTCCAGGTGGTTCCAAACCAAAGAGAGAGACCACAGGATGGAAGCTGAAAGGAAGCAAGCGACCGTGATGTATTGTGCCGGGAAAAAGTTCTTCACAGACTTGTAAATTCTTTTCCCAATAGTCAGTTGACTGGAAGCGATTCAAACGCCATCAGCACCAACGAACCATGCATATTACATCTCGTTTCGGGTATAACTTTATCAAAGTGGGTGGCGTTGAAATACCGATATAATATTAATTCATTTGGCCAGCACACTAGTCACATTCATCAGATCACACTAATATCATACAGGTATCTCAACACTGCCCACTTTGATAAAGGTATACACGAAACGAGATATAATATGCATGGTTCGTTGGTGCTGATGGCGTTTGAATCGCTTCCAGTAAACTGAATATTGGAAAAAGTATTTACAAGTCTGTGGCCCCGGTCACACGGAGGATTTGCCGCGCTAGAGGCATGAATGTAAGGCAGATTTTCGGGGTGCGATCACACTGCAACATCTGGGAAGCGTAGCGCTCCTGCAGCCATCCTGTGGTGTCCCACCGAAGAAGCACAGTGAAAAAGTACCACAGAAAGTGCATTAGTATCCGGAAACCGCGGGGCCGGCGGCTGATCGCGGGAGCGCTAGTATCCCGTAGCATCCGGCGCCCGTCCACGTCCCGTGGCAAACCGGATGTTTTTCGTAAGTGCATGCACACAAATATGTAACTGAAAGCAGTGCTGCTCCGCTGAACCGCGAATGTGCACAAATGCGAAACGTTTGCCACGCCGCTTCTTTGCCATGCTCCAGCATCACCGTGTGATCGCCAGCTAACAGCCTAAGCACGGAGACTCGGGGGGGCGTGTGATCGGGCTACCATGCTTTATTTTGCTCCTAGGTGAACAGCCACGCCTCCCCCCCCGTGTTATCTGGGTGCTCTGTGGAACTGCGCATGTGCACAAACGTGAAATGGTTGCCGCGCCGCTTCTTTGCCATGCTCCAGCATCACCGTGTGATCGCCAGCTAACAGCCTAAGCACGGAGACTTGGGGGACTGTGTGATCGGGCTACCGCGCTTAATTTTGCTCCTGGGTAAACAGCCCCCCCCCCCGCGTTATCTGGGCCGTGTGACCGGGGCCTGTGAAGATCTTTTTTGGCACTATACATCCCGGTTGTTTGCTTCCTTTCAGCCTCCAGGTGGCGCCAGGAGATCTCCTGGGGTTACCACTGATCTCCGAGTGGCAGGGATTGCTTGCTTGCTTGCTTGATTGATTGTCAAATTTATACCCCGCCCTCCCCGCAAAGCAGGCTCAGGGCGGCTTCCAACAACAAACCCAACAATACAGAATAAAAACATAAATAATACAGAATTAAAACACAGCATTCAAAATAGTACATTACAAAATATTAGAATACTGACGGCAGTTAAAAAAATCAAACGAATAAAGTGCTTTCCAACAAAGTGCTTCGATGTCGTTCCATATAAAGTGTTTAGATGTTATTCTGCTCGTTCTTGAGGCAGCCGCTCGATGTTAACATTACGGGCTGTGCACTAGGGCGGAGGTGGCAGCGGCCCCTAACTATATGCCGGCGGAAGAGCTCCATCTTGCAGGCCCTGCAGAACTTTGAGAGGTCCCGCAGGGCCCTGATCTCCTCTGGGAGCTCGTTCCACCAGGTAGGGGCCGCCACCGAAAAGGCCCTGGCCCTAGTAGCAACTAGCCTGGCCTCCCTCAGGCCAGGGAGGGTAAACCGATTTTGAGACCCAGACCATAGTGCTCTCTGAGGTATATACGGGAAAAGGCGGCCCCGTAGGTATGTTGGACCCCTGGATCAGTTCACCTAGAGAAAATGGCCCATTTGGAAGGTGGACTCTGTGGTATTATACCCCTCTGAAGTCCCTTTCTTCCTCAAGCTGCCTTCCTCGGGCTCCACACGGCAAACCTCCCAGGTATGTCCCAACTTGGGGGTGGCACCCCTACCTCAAGGGCCTTATACCTTGCCGAGCTCCACCCCCCACCAAACCCCGCCCTTTCCAGGCTCCACCCCCAAACCTCCAGGGGTTTCCCAACCTGGAGTTGGCAACCCTCTCTCCAGGGGGGTGTCCCCAGCAGCTGGAGGTCATGACAACTGGCACCTGCTTCCAAAAGTGAGGTAGGCCAAAGGTCGACCCTTGGAGATTCCGCACGGAATGCAGCCGGTGTGCCACTGGCCGTTCCCCGAGCCAAGTGTGGCTCCGGCCGCCTCTGCAGGAGCTGCTGTGTCCCGGGCTCCAAAGTGACCCTTCTCTTGGCCCTGCCGTTTTCCCGTCTGGGCAGAGGGTCCCCCGCACACCTACATACGTACCCGGGTGCTCGGCAAAGATGGAGTCGTATTCGTCACAAGTGGTTATCCCATCGAACGCGTTGGTGACACATTCCCACCACAAACCACGGCACGTGGCACTCACCTACAGGGGCAAGAAGAGGTCTGGTTGTCAGGCAGGGCTGTCCAGGGGTGGGGTGCTCTGCGGAGCAGAGGAGCCAAAGCAAGGCTGGCCCTTGCACGGAGGAAGGCACAGCGGAGCAGAGGTCCACCAGTGGCTCTTAACCACAAGGTCTAGAGGGAAGAGAGAGCTCTTTCCAGGACTGTCCTTGAGAGAACAGCTCTTGTCATAACGACGGCTTGCCCAAGGTCATCCAGTGGGTGCAAGTGGAGGAGTGGGGAATCGAACCCGGTTCTCCCAGATTGGAGTCCCCGCACTTCTCCACGACACCAAACTGGCTCTCAAGAGTCCTTATGAAGAACCTCCCCCTCGTGAAGAGAGCACTCAAGCTTCCCCAGTCTTTTGTGCTGCTTCGGATGATCTTTAAAAAGTTGTCCCTGGGCTTCTGTGAGTAATGCGCGAGTCCCTGTAGACCCGCCTGCTCAAAGTCAAGACTTGGAACCCCCTTCCACGAGTCTGCATGCTGGCCCAGCTCCTCGGCCGGCTGCCGCCAGCTCTTTCAAGGGAACACGGATCATTACCCCCACGCCGATATTTAGAAAGGCAATGAGCTGGCTAGGTGGGGAAAGTGACTCAATCTGTCAGGTATTAACGCCAGAGGGTTTCAGCAGAGCGGTTTTGGTGTTCCTGCGCTGAGCGGGAAGGGAGGGGGCACGGCTGCAGTTAGCCCCCCCAAAACACATTAACGGGATGCAGAAGGGAAGGCGGCGTCTAGGGGTGCCTTTGAACCAGGGAGGCAAGGCTGCAGCAATCTTTGCTGTTAAATGTGTGGCTTTATCTCATGCTAAGCAGTCAGTTTATGCCGCCCTCGGTTGAATGCCTTTTTCCAAGTCAAAACCTCGGTCCCTCAAGGTCAGGACTGGCAGCGGCTCTCCGGGGTCTCAGGCGGTGGTCTTCCCAGACCCCTGCTGCCTCTGGTCCTTTGCAGTGGAGATGCCGGGGATTGAACCTGGGACCTTCTGCGTGCCAAGCAGAGGCTCTTCCACTGAGCCACAGCCCCTGGTCAGAGTGAACCAGACCCCTCTTTGCAATTTGGAGCAAAGATGGTGAGGAAGACCCGTGCAGATCTAACAATCTGAAAGGAATTTGGGTCATAGGGATGCCAGCCTCCAGGTGGGACCTGAGGATCCCCCCAATATTGCAGCTCATCTCCAGAATACAGAGATAAGAACATAAGAGAAGTCAATGGTGGATCAGGCCAATGGCCCATCTAGTCCAACACTCTGTGTCACACAGTGGCCAAAAACACCAGGGGCCATCAGGAGGTCCACCAGTGGGGCCAGGACATTAGAAGCCCTCCCACTGTTGCCCCCCCCCAAGCACCAGGAAGACAGAGCATCACTTGCCCCAGACATAAGAGAGGCCAATGTTGGATCAGGCCAGTGGCCCATCCAGTCCAACACTCTGGGTCACACAGTGGTCAAAAATACCAGGTGCCATCAGGAGGTCCACCAGTGGGGCCGGGACCCTAACAGCTCTCCCACTGTTGCTCCCCCCCAAGCACCAAGAATACGGAGCATCACTTGCCCCAGACTGAGAGTTCCTATCTATACCTAGTGGCTAATAGCCACTGATGGACCTCTGCTCCATATGCTTATCTAATTCCCTTTTGAAGCCGTCCATGCTTGTAGCCGCCACCACCTCCTGTGGCAGTGAATTCCATGGGTTAATCACTCTTTGGGTGAAGAAGGACTTCCTTTTATCTGTTCTCACCTGATTGCTCAGCAATTTCATGGAGTGTCCATGAGTTCTTGTCTTGTGAGAAAGGGAGAAAACTACCTCTTTCTCGACCTGCTCTGTCCCATGCATCAATTTATAGACCTCGATCGTGTCACCCCTCAGCCGTCGTTTCTCCAAGCTAAAGAGCCCCAAGTGCTTCAACCTTTCCTCATAGGGAAAGTGTTCCAACCCTTTTATCATTCGAGTTGCCCTTTTCTGCACTTTTTCCAA